TATTTATCTGGTTTTGGGAAGGTTGCAATATATTATGGAATTTACTGTGTAGTATACATTGTAAAAGTTACTTTTATTTCATCCCCCAACCCTTTTATAAACTCTTTTCTCATGTTCCCGAATGATTAGTTTCTAGAAAGAGAAAAAAGGCTGATGAAACCTAAAAGAGAACATGGGAGCAATGCTAAGTTAGCACTATTAAGTTATTCGTCAAAGTTATGCTGTCTAATTTAGTTATTTAAGTTATGTGTGCATGGTTCTTAAAAAAAAAAAGGAACACGTGAGATTCAGCACGTCCGCGTCAAGCACATGCATGAAAAGAGAATGGAATGTCTGCGTGTCCGAAAAGAGAAAGAGAACAATATACTATCCTAAAATGGTATCAGATGAGAATAAATGTTTTTCTATTGAGGCAACTGTGCTGATCGGAAAATTGATCGCTGATTTCATTCTAAATGAACGTTCGCCAATTAGTGGCGTCGCTTTTCGTGGCCTTTGTTTTGGATTGAAGTTTGGAATGGCGGAATGGGAAATGGATTATAGGATAAGAAGAGGTGGCGTTTTTTTGAGGATTCGTAAAAAAGAAACATGCTGGACAACATCACCTCAAGGCCCACGAAGTAAATGTAATTGGGCCCATAAATCGAGACCAGTCCTGCAGTCGAATCTGATGTAGGTCGAGACTCAAAGAAGCCCGTAACAAATTGTTATTGCCCACGTGCCGTTCGACCAAGACAGAAAAACGTAATGTTCAAAAGGAGATCTACAATATTTCCAAAAGAAATAACAAAGAATGATTGCATGTGCATATGGTCTATAACTATATAATATACATGCCGTTAGTCCGCAGCATTGTGCACTAGGGGTCGAGGTTATTTTGAGGTTATATTATCTACATCTACAATTTTTTGAGGTACGGAGCGCATACACACATGACACATGCGGGGCTTGTGAAACGCCTGGGAACTCCACACGGGCGTGGCAAGCACATGCAGGGACGGGTGTCTACAAGCGCCCAGCCCGTCGCCGTCTCGCCGCCACCGACGACGGCTCGGCTCGGCAGGGCTCGGGCGGGCGGCGTCGGCGTGGAATTCTCCTGATCACCAGACCGACGTACGTGGACCAACATCTCTCACTGAAAAGCGCCCGAAAGCCACGGAACGGGAATCAGCCGCTTGCTATGCTACCACACTTGACGCCACGGCAAGGTCGACGTGCCTCCTAAGCATCGCGAGCAAGCACGCCGCAGAGCCCACAGGCGGAAGGCGACCAGGCCGCCCGCATCACTGTGTCTCGCGCCGCGTGGTCCGCGCGCGGCTTTGGATTCTCCCTCGACGCCGACGTGCGGCTTTTACCTGCTGCCGGCCGCGGGAGGCCGGAGTCTATCCATCGACCTTGCAGAACACGTGCTCCCCTGGAGTCTCGTACGGGACTTCCTCTCCCGACACGTTTTGTTCCTCGATCTGACTCATCTCGATCGACCAGAAATAAGATGAAGGACAGACATGGCGCTCAAAAACAACGAAAGGAAAAGAAAAAGACGAGAGACAGCGTTGCCTCTTCTTGTACGAATAATAAAGAAATAGAGTGGGTAAAGTTTTACGGCTGGCTCATATATATGCTAGTAGAGGCAAGCAGATAATCATGAAGCTTTTCAGGATGAAGTGGTCTCGCAATGCAAGTTTCTTTGGGGAAAGGTGTTTCTTCCAAGTTGCATACCATGCGGCTGTCGGTTTGCAAGAACTGGGGTTAGTGTGATGAATGTTCCTTCTTTCGTTAGACAATGGCACGGAGATTCCACAGCATTGCTTGCAGTCTATACGAACTAGCAGTTGTGCACGCATGGAGTGGAATTATGACGGTACTGACAGCATGCGAAGCAACAAGAGACAACAGTGCACTGTATCCTCACACCATGTGTCACCGGAAACCGTGTATGGAACGTTAACTTCCCAACTTCCCTGAAAAATATCCCGATCCATTTGTCAACGCACTGCTCTGAACCATGTCGCATGTAATGGCGTACGATATCTTCCCAGTTTTACAATAATAATAATTGAGAGGCAACATAATCATAATGACGACAACGTACTTTTAGATGTCCATTCAAATATATTATTTTTGCAAAACAAATTTTATATTACAGGAAGCTATTTTTATTACAAAAGATTACAATATTTGAGGCGACATAATCATAATGATGACAAGGTACTTTTAGATGCCAATTCAAATATATTACTTTTGCAAAAACAAATTTTATGCTGCATGAAGCTAATTTTTTTTATTAAAGATATAGGATAAATTTAATTTATTAGAAAACATCACCTTGCAAAAGTGAGTATCAGACATGCAACATGATGCAAAATACTAAAAAAATCAATTATCCAATCTACAAACATGAAACCAATCGTAAATTTAGAGAGCTTGCCTATATCTTGCACTTGGGAATTTTTTTTTTTTGCTCTTTAGCAAATAAATGTTTTGGAACCCTTAGATTTAGAACCAATGGGACCGTTTTTCTTGGTTTTATCTTCCCTCATCGACGGTACGAGACAGCAGCTAGCCTATAATCATGCCACTGCCACCTCATTATATGAGCCCCACATGTAAATGATTTATATTCTACATCTTCCTTCCTTTGCTCTCCTCTTCTCTATGAGCAGGCCTACAAATGGCAGCATATTCTGAGCGAGATATGCGTGAAGATAAGAGATAAACATTCTCTTTTCTACCTTCTCTCTCTTCCACATAACCAAAATGTTGACCTAGATTCCTATGATCTAACTGAAGTAGCACTGTTGCGGACGCCCTAAGCAGCACGGTATGACATATCTCATTACTGTAACGATTGAGCTAGCATTGCCCTCCTCCTCCTCTTCCTCCTATCTCTAACAACTCTTTTCGTGAAACCTTGACATCGCTCTCCGCTGCCATGTGCATTCATTCGGGATTGGGTTTTCACTTGCCAACCTCTCTACCTCGCCGCATCACCCAACAACCAATGACTTTTTCATGGGAACTTGATCTTTCCATCGGGTCAAGGTAACTCTTGATTTGGTGGAGAATTGAGGCACATACTCCACATTCCGATCAAAGACGTGAACCCTACAACCGCAACACCACGTTTCCTTGGTTATCAATTGTGTGTACTGCCCGATTGACTTTGCTCTGAAGGCTCATTTGTGTCTGCAAAATGAAGAACGCAAGGAAGAATACAATTTGACATTGCAAATAAGATGATAAGGATTCTTGGTCGTGTCCCCAATGGACTCCGATAGGATGCACGGCCCAATGACCCAAAAAGATGGTGATGTGGCACCAAGACATTCTTTTTGTGCACACTTGTTATGACAATTTGTGTTGACTCATATGCAATTTTGATATGGGACCAGCGTAATTAGAAAGTGTATGTCCTTAGCTTCCTGTACATACGTAGAACATCGAAAACGACCTGGGCGACAATTTTAGTGCGGCTACTTATGGAGTCTGAAGTGGACACGAACTTAATATGGATTAGACCTTTAACTTGGTTTGAAGCCTTGCATGCCCACACTAGTTTTCTTTGCCTCAATGCGTCTGTCTAAGTGCTTATTGATCCTCTCTAAATTTCCAAAAATTATAACACAAACAATCTATTCTCACAATCACGAATGCATGGAATTACTTAGGAACTAGCTCACCTAGAGATTTAGTTGCCATGCTCAAGCTCTACTAATTGGTCCTTACATAATTAGTGTGCTTTTTAAAGAAGTGATGTCGTCATAAGTTTTCATCTAACGCTACTGGTGAGGTGGACAGTGTGTTTCCATGGTGTTGGGTTGGCGAGAGCTGTGTGAAAAAAAAATGAAGAAAAGACTCCTTAATGAAATCCGTGCAGTGCACGTTCTCGAAAAAATTTGAAGATAAGAAAAACACCCTATTATAATATGGGCTCACTTGACACAACTATAGCTCGGAGACATATATAACAAATGGAAAATTTAAATAGTTATATGTTAAATTTAAATTATAGTTAAACTGTAGTATCATCTAAATGGTCTCCATGTACGTGTATCTCCAATTGCAGGTGCAGCGTTTATTAGATCCACGGATGCTTCGCGCCTGGTCCCGGAACTGGCACAGCCCACCCGGTAAAACCGGCTTTTGTTGTACACGCGGTGTCATCACAGGATACGGAACTCGTGTCGACCAAATAACACAAACCAAACATAACTTTCAAAAGAAAAAGAAAATAAAAGAAACTCAGAGTGCTAGGCCATCTGCTGACTTTGATTTAGCAATCATTTTGACCTGTCGCGTGCATGATAAATGAGGACCACCAGCCAGCTCACTTACCGCAGTTAAAAATCAAGACATTCGACGATCGCACGGCTAGAATTCTCACCGCACTGCCGAGCACACGCCGGTACGCCACCTGCAGCGCAGACGAGCGGCCAACAAGAGGTTCCGCCCTCCACGGGTCTCCAACCTCGCCTGCGCCGGCGACCGCTATTTCTTCCCACTCCCACACGCATCAGCTCGTTCCCCATCTCCGCCAAGAAGAGAGGAGAGGAGACGACTAGACGAACGAGAGAAGCCTGTGAGCTTGCCCGTCCGCGCACACAACCGCGACGTTTCCCAACCCGTCACTCCACCACCACTCCACCACCAACTCGCCCTGCAGTCCTGCACACGCGCCTCCCGGCGGCTGCCTGTCACTCACTCATATAACGACTCCAGACGATCCAGGAAGCCAATCGCCAGCCAGTCAGGAAGCGCGACCGCGCCAGCTCCTATACCTGCAGACGCCCATCGGCCAGAACACTTGCGTAGCAGGCTACAGGATTCTCAGTCCGGTCATCCATCCGGATCTCGCCAAGGCGTGCAAGATTCCTGCTTCGCCGAGGATTAATTAGCCGCCGGCCGAGCTTCTGCGGAGAGTCGGCAGCTTTTCTTGGTCCCGATTTGCCCTGCTGCTACTCGTGGTGCGCTCCTAGGCGAAGGAAATGATCCAGACCAACATGGCCGCAGCCACTGCCGCCGCCGCTTCTACCATGTCCCTGCTCCCGATCTCCCAGCTCAGGCAGCAGCAGCACGGCGCGGGCGCCGTGGTCGTGTTCCGGCGGCAGCCCCGGGACGCACGGCGGAGGCGATACGTCGTTCCGGTACGCAATCCCCACCCCGATCCCGTCTCGTCTCGTGCGATCTTTTAGTCCTTTCTTGCTCCGGTTTATTTGGGCGTGGTGAGCTGATGAGTGGGCAGGGGCTGTGGTTGTGGGTGCCCTGTTTCGATTATCTCTAGACGGCGAGGCTGTTCGGGCCGGCGATCTTCGAGGCGTCCAAGCTGAAGGTGGTGTTCCTGGGCGTGTTCGAGGAGAGCAGCAAGCACGGGCACCCGACGCCGGCGCCGACGGCGGGGAAGCCGCCGCCGCTGCTGCCGCGGACGTACACGCTGACGCACAGCGACGTGACGGCCAGTCTGACGCTGGCCGTGTCCCACACCATCAACCGCGCGCAGCTGCAGGGCTGGTACAACCGCCTGCAGCGCGACGAGGTGGTGGCCGAGTGGAAGAAGGTGCGGGGGCGGATGTCGCTGCACGTGCACTGCCACATCTCCGGCGGCCACTTCCTGCTCGACCTCATCGCCGGCCTCCGCTCCTACATCTTCCGCAAGGAGCTCCCCGTGGTACGTACTACGTGTCTCCCTGCTGCCCACACGCGTGGAAACACGTGTAACATGTACGTATTGCAATTGGTTTCTCCGCTGCAGATTGATTCGCTTCACACCTGGTTCCTGAGCGAGACCCCACGCTGGCCTGTGATCTGCAATTCTGCGTCCTTTTTTTTGAAAGAAAAATCTGCAATTCTGCGTCCTACCGGCCGTCGTTATCCTCGCTTGCTTGCTAATGCTTCCCACACAGTAACTAGAAAAAACCGCCACCATAGTCACTTCACTTGATATATATTCAGTCAGTCATTAGTGATATGGTTTAGTTCCTGACAGTGTTCGAGCAATAATGTTTAGGTTCTGGTACAGTTTTTAGCAAAACTTCGAGAGCAACGCTCTCTTTTGTCTTCCAAACAGGCCTTTGTTGTGTTAAGTTCGTTACGTTGTCAGTCTTATCATCTTGCGACTCTGCTTTGGTGCAGGTGCTCAAGGCGTTCGTGCACGGCGACGGCGACCTGTTCAGCCGGCACCCGGAGCTGGAGGATGCCACGGTGTGGGTCTACTTCCACTCCAACCTGCCCCGCTTCAACCGCGTCGAGTGCTGGGGTCCGCTCCGCGACGCCGCCGCGCCGCCTGCCGAGGACGACTCCACCGCGCCGGCCGCCGCCGCCTCCAAGGAGGGGCAGATGCCGCCCGTGGGCGAGTGGCCGTACCGGTGTCCCCAGCAGTGCGACTGCTGCTTCCCGCCACACAGCCTCATCCCCTGGCCGAACGAGCACGACATGGCCGCCGCCGCCGACGCCTCCGCCGCCGTCCAGGCCCAACAGCAGTAGTGAAACTGCACGTAGTACGGAGGAGATCGAGGGACATTCGCTGCTATGCAATGTAAGCCGTAGCTAATAGGCTAGCGTGTTGTTTGGTTAGCTATTCTTTAATTGGTAGCTTAGCTCAGCTCAGTTCTCCACTTCTGCAAACCTGGAAGTACAATAGCTTGGTTGGGGTCGGGGGATGAACACGGTGGTCTTGTAAATAGCTAGAACACTTTGAACTGGATGACAAACCTGCAAAGAATCTGCACGTACACACATGTTGCTGCAAAGTGGCAAGTTTAAGGGTCGGCAGGCAAAGTATACACATGTTCACTTAGATCGTTTACGTGGCTTGTAAGCCGGCTGATGCTGTTTTATTGTAAGAGAAAAACACTATATCATGACTGATAAGCATGATTGATACGATCAAACGAACATGTGTTAATGACTGATAAACATGGCTGATACGATCAAACGAACATGTTTCATTGTACTCCTACTTATATAGTACAGTACACTACTATTCTTGAACTAGAACTCAACTAGATTCGTACAAAATATGTAATAAATGGAATGGAAATGATTAATTATTTATTCGACCGTACGATCTTGGTCACGCGTGTCTCTGTCAGGAGGTGTGAAGATGCGTCTGGAGTTGTGATCGGCTGATTTTGTGTACTGAAAAATGTACACCCGTAGCTTTGCAGTGTGCAGTGCTAGGAGGAGTCTGGAGTTACCGGTAGCTTTCACGCTTGCGTGCCGTTTCGACTAAACCGGCTCTGGAGTCTGGAGATTTCTCCCAAACTGATGGATTTCCATGCTACTTGGCCGTTTAGTGCGAAAGAACATCTTTTTTTTCTTTGCCTTTGCGTTATTGCTGGAATCGGCAATTTTGTCAGCAATAGCAGCCGTTGATTGGTTTGGTGCTCTTGCTTGGCGTGCTTGTTGGGTACAGTAGGACGACTTGCATGCATCTGGGGGAAGAAATTACCAGAACCCCTGGTATGCCCGAGGAGGAGGAAGGATCGAAGGAAAGAGAGAAACAAAGACTCTGGATGTCTTTGTAAAGAACACTATGTAAATACCCGTGCGTTGCAATAGAACACATAATATCATGATAACATATGTATGAGCATATATTATACTGTTATCTAAAATAGATACCACAATCATAATGTTCCAATCAATATTACATAAGTCTTCACATAAGATAGATAGTTAAAATATAACTCTAAATTTGAATACAAAACTAAAACATCAACTTCAATTGTCGTATCATTTCATGCCTACGATACGCGAAAGATAAGCTTGCACTTCTTTAGGAATCGTGCTACGGAAAGATAATCATAACAAGTTTGTGTTTCACAATACATGTTTTAGATTCTATTCGACAATTAAGAATATAATCTCTCAATAGTTCGACTAAGAGAACGTGCTTTGCACGAATACCAAGCTCAAGTTGGTCACCAATCAATGATGATCCAGAAGATTTTCTAGTCTAAGATGTGGCGTCTGACTTCTTGCAGCTGAAGCATGCAGATGGCTAAAGTTATAGTTAGAAGTATCCAGCACATAAGTTGTTTGTTAATTTTTAAAGTTAAAGTACTATTTGATATTAAAAAATATGTATCGACGTGTGATGCATTACCTCTTTTATGGAGTTAGAACCTCTTTATATACGATATTCTATGTGAATATATCCTTTATCGCTTTCTTCTTAGGTTTAGGAGAGTTAGGGGCAGAGAATCGAACTTCCTTGTCTTCGAAACAAAGTATTCTAAAAAATTATCATACAAAGGAATTTTTATTTGCTCATGCAATAAATAATCATACCTCTTTTTAGTCTTTTTGGTAGTAAATAAAACTTAATAAAATCGAATACCTTAGATCCATTCTAAAATTCAGAAGCTTTGATGATCTTTCTATTTGATTCTATTCAATAAGTTTGATGAGCAGAAAAAATGGGGTACTCGCCTTCTATTCTTTGTTGAAGCAAAGCATAACCTAAGTTCTTTGACTAACCCCTCTTCGTTTGTGATCTGTGATAGCTGATCGGAGGCGTGGTTGTGGATAGGGATGCACATAGATGACATCAGGATTTGATTGTTGTTTTTTTTCATGTGATTTGTCCGATTTTCCTTGAAAGAAAAAAAAATACCGTAGATCTTGAGCGCTGGGGTGCACGTAATCGGGCATAACAACGTCCTGCCGGTGGACATTAACATTTCCCTTATTGTTGATTTTTTCCGTGATCTGTGCTTTCTGGATTTGTCAAAAAGATAAGAATACTGCGGCTGCATGTTGGAGTGGGGTACACCTGTATGCATCCATGCATGGAAAGACCCGAAGGAACCTACGAGGGAGGAGCGCGGGATAGAGCCGGACAGAGCAGCCATGCAGGGGTTGGGGGAATTTCCTTTTCTGCGTCGGATAGTCATGGATCGCAAGAAGATTTTGGTTCTGCCGGATAGACGTCGACGATCCGTATGTTTTAGTTATAGAGATAAACGACGAAGTAATAATTGACTTTGCATAGATTTTCTTCTATTTATCGTTTTAGTTTAATCAGCGAATAAGCAGGCTTGTCTGTATGCGATTTTGTATTTCGTATATTCCTACTAGACTGTCATCATCTGTTCTCATCGGCTATGGTTTTCTATGACCAAATCTGACGATTAACTGATGGATGAAAGCGACGAGACAGGAGAATACCAGACCTGTAACTTTTTAGTGCAAAAAGAGTTGCATGATCTTCATTTTCTTGGAGAAAGTATATGCTTTCCTCTTTGAATGACGAGTTTTAAAGCGAAACTTCTGAAAGTGGGAGATTCTAAACGTGCAGTGCAATCCCACGACTCTACACTCTACAGCCCTTGGAGCGCAATACGTCGGCCCATTCATTTCTAGCGGGCATTTAATGGGCTTTAAGTTTAGAAGCAGCGTCCATCCCGAAGCCCAAAAATCTAAACCCCACGAGCCACACTCCACGCCCGGGCCCGGGGATTGAGCGAGCATCGGGTGCTTTTCGTTACGTTCCTCCCTCCTCGTCCCCCTCTCATCACACTTCACACACCGATCCCCACTCCCCCAAGGAAGCGAAGCGCACGCACACTGCCCTCCGGCGACGGCGAGGCCCCCGCCGCCGGCGGATCGGATCGGTTGGGATCCGGATCCGGATCAGCACTGGCATCGCCGCGCCGGAGATGCCGACCCCTAAGCAGCGGCTCCCCTACTCCACCTCAGGCGAGGGCGGAGGAGGGAGGCGCGCCGCCTCCGGCTCCGCCGCGCTGCCCCCCGTGGTGGTCCTCGTGTTCCTCTTCGTGGTCGCGCCTTCTCTCTTCTTCGTCGTGCGCAATGGCGGTCGCGGCCACGTCCACGTAGCCTCCGGTCCGGTTTGCATCCCCTCCTTCAGAGCCCCTGTTGTTTGTGTCGACGCGAGGTGTTTAATTCTGCGGTGCCTTGTGCGATGAGCGCCTAGATTGGGTGGAGCTCGGTGGAATTTGTCTAGATTTTGGGATTGATGCGCTCTCCAGCCGTAGTCTGATGCGACTTAGTTGGATAAGGGGATCATCTGTGTAGTTTCGGAGCGGTTTAGGGATTTTATATTTAGTATCCTCTGCATTGTTGCTTGATTTCCCGTTTGGATGGAAACTGTGTCGGTGGAACATGGTGCTCTAAGGAAATGAGCCTAGTCACCCTAGGGATTGCAGGGATTATTATCCCCTTGCACTCAGATATTATTGGACTACAGGAATTGTTATCCCTTATATGTTGCAGTTGCTAGGTTGTTGGTGTACATATGATAAGTGGGTAGCGATAGGTTAATGTTGTAGAAATTGAAGTGCATGCTACAACAGTGAGCTAACAAAACTATAATGAAACTGTATAATGGTTGGTCGTAAGCATGCTGAACAATCTATGACATTACCATTGTTAGCTGAAATGTAGTATTATCGTTGAAAAACAATGTGTATGATTCCACATTATTTGGTTGTCAGGTGTAAGAACAATGTACTACTCCCTCTGTTCCAAAATGTATGTTGATTTAGTTTGCTCCTAAGTCAAAGCTCTCTAACCCTGACCAAGTTTATAGAAAAATACATCAAAATCTACAACATTAGATTAGTTTAATTAAAATCACCATAAAATATGTCGTGACAGTCTATTTATTTGATGGCCTAGATGTTAATATATTTTTATCTGAACTTGGTCAAAGTTAGAGATGTTTGACTTAGGACAAAACTAAAACGACATACATTTTGGAACGAAGGGAGTATATTTTTGCGAATTAGAACAATGCACTATCTGAATGCATTGTTTTACCTGAAATAGGGGTAAGCATTGACATGTTCTGTTTACCTGCAGATCCCAAGGGCAAGATTGGCGATCAGGTAGTTACCAACCCTGAAAGGGTTTCAATTGCTTAATGAGCGTAGTTTTTGACGATTCATTTCATCTTTTGAATTGCCTTGCAGGAAGCAGCAGCAATGAAGAACCTCAAATCTATTTTGCCTAAGGAGGTGAGAACGTCTTGTGACCAACCCTGCAAGGGGTTCAATTGCTTAATGAAAAATACTTTCAATTTTCACATTTCACATATGCTCATTAGATTAAACTGCCTTAGATGCTGACTTCTTCCATCATACTAATACTAAGTCCAGATGTTCTACTTTTCAATTATGTGTGTGTAGCTTATGCACCAAACTATGTCAATGGATGGCCCGTGTCATAATGTGGTGAATAAACCATAGAATTAGACCTCGTTAATCACCTGTTTTTTTTTATCTCATTCTTAGCAACCTAGTCTGTTATCTCATTCCCAGCCTAGTCTGTTTGACTAACCTTGTTCCACTATTTTGGTGTGTTTTCTGTATTTGCCGTTCTTCCATTTCCTCTTCTATTTTGTTTTATGTTTCCCTTTCCCTTTTCTTTCTTTTGTTTGGGTCCAAACTTTTATTTGATCTTTTCTCCTTCTTAACTTAATGGCAGGCAGTCCTCCTGCTGGTTTGGGAAAAATGTTCTTCATTATTTAGCTTATTGGCTACTGGAGTACTGGCTGTACTATTGCAGTCTGTTTATTGCATGTTTGTGTTAATTCAGAAACTAGTATTCATAATGTTGGTTGTGTATGAAACAGCCATTAATATTTTTTGTGTCCTTAATTTCTTTGTGTTTGGACATTTTTTTTCTTCTTCAGGTGTTTGATGCTATAACTGCTAGTCAACAAGAGTCAGGCACATTGAGTCTTGATTTTTTTAGGAATCGTGCATCTCCCTCTTGGAAAACTGATGATCTAGTCATTGAGAAGAGCATGGATGTTGATGGCAAGGCTAAAGCTGAAAACAGTTTGCCAGAACATGATCTACCAACAAATAGATCACCCAAAGATCCAGGTACTAAAATAAACATGAATATCAAAAGCTATTATTGCTCCTCTACTTATGTAAGCCTGAAAATAAATTGTTTTTTTTATTGTAGATGAACATCAAGTTGACAAAGCAGCGAAAGTAGCTCGAAGGGTAACAGTACTATCCTAGTATACAAATCGCCTTGGCCTTGTTCTGGTCTCTGTTGATACACTCTTACGTCTTTTTTTACTTGCCTGTATACTGTAGAAACTTAGGGAGAAAAGACGTGAGAAGAGAGCAATGGATTTGGTTCATAAAGATGATGAAGCGCGCGTTAAGCTGGAGAATGCCGCTATTGAGCGATCAAAAGCTGTCGATTCTGCTGTGCTTGGAAAATACAGCATATGGCGAAAAGAGAATGAGAATGAGAATTCAGACTCTACAGTTAGGCTTATGAGGGACCAAATTATTATGGCTCGTGTCTATTCTGCGCTTGCTAAATCAAAGAACAAGAACGATCTATATCAAAAACTGCAGACCCGAATCAAGGAAAGCCAGTGGGCTGTTGGAGAGGCTTCTGCTGATGCTGACCTGCACCACAGGTGTGCATCTCTTCACTTCTTTCCTAACTGTTTCTTACTTTGCTCCTTTTAACCATCTACTTTGCAGCGCGCCTGAGAAAATCAGAGCAATGGGTCAAGTTTTATCAAAGGCTAGAGAAGAAGTTTATGATTGTATGGCAATCACTCAGAGACTAAGGGCTATGCTTCAGTCAGCAGATGAACAGGTCAGGAGCTTGAAGAAGCAGAGTACATTTCTTAGCCAGTTGGCTGCAAAGACAATTCCAAACAGCATTCACTGCTTGTCTATGCGTTTGACAATTGATTACTATCTCCTCCCCCTTGAGGAACGGAAATTCCCAAGGAGTGAAAATTTAGAAAACCCAAATCTCTATCACTATGCACTTTTCTCAGATAATGTCTTGGCAGCCTCGGTTGTTGTGAACTCAACCATCATGAATGCTAAGGTATTTTGCATGTGCTTTTAGTCAATTATTCAATTGCACCCCACTAAGTAGTTTCTAACGTTTGATGTTTGGAATGACTTTTTCAGGAACCGGAGAAACATGTTTTCCATCTTGTGACTGACAAGTTAAACTTTGGAGCCATGAACATGTGGTTTCTGCTGAACCCACCCGGCAAGGCCACTATCCATGTTGAGAATGTGGACGAATTTAAGTGGTTGAACTCATCATACTGTCCTGTGTTACGGCAACTTGAGTCTGCTGCCATGAAAGAGTACTATTTCAAAGCTGATCATCCCACCACTCTCTCAGCAGGTTCTTCAAACCTAAAGTACCGGAACCCCAAGTACCTCTCTATGCTGAACCACTTGAGGTTCTATCTCCCAGAGGTCTATCCAAAGTTGGATAAGATACTCTTCCTCGATGATGACATAGTTGTGCAGAAAGATTTGACACGGTTGTGGGATGTTGATCTTAACGGAAAGGTCAATGGTGCTGTGGAAACCTGTGGGGAGAGTTTCCACCGCTTTGACAAGTATCTTAATTTTTCAAATCCACACATTGCTCGGAACTTTGATCCAAATGCATGTGGCTGGGCTTATGGGATGAACATTTTTGATCTGAAGGAGTGGAAGAAGAAAGATATTACTGGGATCTACCACAAATGGCAAAATATGGTGAGAATTCAGCTCTTGTTACTGAGTTGCATGATTTACAAAAAAACTGTTTTTACAGATCTGTACATTCTTAGTTTAAACTCATCATATCTCACATAATTCTCCTGCTGTTCTGTTCTGTTGTTTTAGAATGAAGACAGAGTTCTTTGGAAGCTTGGGACACTTCCGCCTGGCCTCTTGACCTTCTACAAGTTGATGCACCCACTGGACAAGTCATGGCATGTTCTTGGATTAGGATACAACCCAAGCATAGACCGTTCAGAGATAGACAGTGCTGCTGTGGTTCATTACAATGGAAACATGAAGCCATGGTTGGAGCTAGCAATGACCAAGTACCGACCATATTGGACCAAGTATATCAAGTATGATCACCCTTACATCCGTGGATGCAACTTGAGTGAGTAGATAGTCGTGCTGAAACTGACAGACGAGGAAGAGCCTGTTGGACAGAAGTGTTCCACTACCATGTCCTTGCGGTGCGTTCTTTGACAGAGCAAAGTGGTACTACCTGAAGCTCTTGATTGCTTTCCCCCTCCCCTCCCCTCTCATCCCCTGAAAATTCACTGGTGGATGTTCTGCGAGTTTTTTTATTATAGCGATGCATTTTTTTTATTCAATTATTAGTAATGTGTAGTTATATTTTGCCGTCAAAATTAGCAGGAGAAAAACTTCTAAAATGTGCTTATGCTGCTGGTGTCGCGTGCTGCTTAGTGGTATGTCTAGAGAATTGAGTGTTGCCGGAATTGGATTGTCTTTTGTATCAGATGATATAAAGTAGGAGTACAATCCAAAGCGAAAGGCATGATCAAGCGGATTACAGGGTTAACCCTGAGTCCTGACCAATGTAAAACTATTTCCTCTACAGTATCAAGAAATGCCGGTATCCGTTTGATGATAACTGGTGTTGTAACTAATCTTGTGTTTCTCGGTCATGTGTTGCATGGTGCACCTGCTAGCGCCTTCCTTCCTTGAGCCACAGCCACCACGCATCCAACCTGATGCTCCTAGCCCCAGGGTCTTGTTCGCCAAAGGAGCAGTCGACACGGGCTCAACGTATGCGAAGGTGCGGAGGATGTAGCGACCGCCGCCGCTTACCGGGCAATCAGCTCGAGCCTTTTCCAAGTTCCGATCAACCGTCTCGCCATGGCCCTTTTTCAGCCGCTCACGGTATAAGGGTAGCTCTACGATGCCCAGGATGGCGGCGACAACCTCCTGCTTGACGCGCGCGCGGTCCTCTCCTCGGCCGCACGGTGAAGCTGCGTTACTTAGCGCCTTCGCGGCGCCCCTGCCTTCCACCAGCATCTTCTCCCCGGCGTGCTCGATGGTCGACACTCCGCGCTCCTTGATCCTGTGCGCGTACAGCGCTCCGTCCCCCCCTGCAGCAGCAAGACGCCAGACCGCACGGCGTGCGGCCCAGGCACGTGCCGCGGCAGGCCGCGCAGCTGCACCCTGCGATAGAGGCTCCACCGGCCGTCGTCCCCGAGGCGCCACATGTTGATGTCGTCGTTGGACGCGGCGAACGGCTCGCCGGAAGTCGGGTTGTGCCTCACGCTGGTGACCACCACGGCGCCGCGTCCGCATCCAGCAGCCGGCAGTAGAGCGGCCTCCGGTGGACGTCGAACGGCGGGGGCTCGACCAGCGTTGCCTCCTCTTGGTTCAGACGAAAGCGGACGAGTCTGGCTCTTGCCACCTCGTAATGTGTGAGCCAGTACACTGCGCCGTTGCTGTACACGGCGCCGCCGGCGGCCAGGCAGCACTCGGCGGCACCGGGAGCGCGCACGGGCCTCCAGTATTTGTCTCCTACTCTGTGCACGTACACCACCCCCTTCTTCCCCGTGGAACCGGACCTCGCGATCTTGTAGTCGTGTGGGACGTGCACGATCTTGTACAGCTTAGCGGTCGCGTCGAAGCCGAGGCAGTACGCGCGCGGGTCGCGCCGCGTGCTCGTGCTCGTGCACGGCGGCGGCGGCAGGGCGAGCGACGCGCCGGTGGCTGGGTTGGAGATCCTGACGGCGCAGCTGCGCACGTCGAGGAGGCAGAGCAGGCCGCCGCAGGTTCCGATCATGTCAACCGATGTGCCCGCCGTGAACTTGGCCGTGACGGCCCACTGCTCGTCGAGCACGAGGCCGCGGCCGGGCCGTGGTTTGGCGCCGCCGAGCACCGGGGGAAAGAACACGACCGTGTGCGTCGGAGCCTTTTGGCTACCGTCCGGCGCGCGATCCTCGCGTGGGCTCGCATCAGCGCCATCGTCGTGCGGCGTTGCCGGTCCGCGGGTGGCACCGAGTGCGGTGGGCGCCGGAGCTTGCCGCATCTGCCGTAGCACACAAATGCGCAGTGGCTCGAGGCGTGCAGGGCTTGGCCGTGTGCCGAGGTGGAATCGGAGTGGAGCTGGACGCTTGGGCTGACCTCGGTTCTCCTGCTCGGAACGTCTACGATTATGAAGTGCAAAAAAGAAGTGCATGCGCGAATTTTATACGCGGTGCAGTAGGAGACCAGCGGATCACGCTCCTGAGATGATAATAAGTGCAGTGGTCGTAGCGGGCGTAGTACGAAATGTGTTAGCAGTATTTGTTTTTATAAAGAAAGATTAGTAGTAATGGTCAGTCGTCACAATTGATTCAGTTCCTCACGCAGCGTGCAGGCTTGAGCTTTCTCAGACGACCCAACCGTAACAACGACGCTGATCCCATTATTTTTAGATTGACAATAGTCAGACCGTTTCCTTTCACCTTAAACAATGCTGCCGGTCTATTTTTGCTTTCCAAGGAATGCTAAAGAATAATGATATGCGTGTGCTGTGTCAGTCATTGTGCCAAGAGCAATATTTTGGAGAAACGAGTTCATCGCGCGAAGAGAGTGAGAGTTATGAATTCCAAAATACTTCAGGTTAATATTTGGGTGACTAGGGCACCAAGGCATTTTTGCATATATAGTACAGTGCTTTCTTTCTTTTTTGGAAAAATGTGAAGGTCATATGACCTTGTTCAAAATAGAAAGGTAATATGATGATAACTCTTTTTTTACAAACATTTTTTGAAAGCCAATCAATCACCCCCATTTTCATTAAAGTCACAATGGAAATACAAGAGGTTCGTGATGTTTGGGGGGGGGGATCAACTCTGATAGAAACAGGACGTACACCAAGAATATGGACAGAAGTTAGGGTATAACCTCTTTGAGTGGAAAGTAATACCCCTGCATCCTCTGTATGGATCGTGTTGCTTTTTATTAAATTGTTGGATTTTAATTGGGTTTGGCTTAATTTTATTCAATTAAAACCAAATAAATCTTAGAGTCCATATTAAATGCTACGCATAATAAAATCTTAGTCTCGCATAGAAATTTGACTAAAGGTTAACTTAAATAGGTGATACTTGTATGCACCTGTTTTGAAGTTGAGAGAGGCAAAAAACGTGATACATGCACACACGACAAGCCGAGCTATGCCATGGGCGTGCATGAGCCAAGTAAAGCCCGCCACAACACCATGATGCGGTGTGGGATAGGCTGGGTTTGCCACTTGGGTCAATTGACGCCGCTCGATTAAGGCTCATCAAAATCCTTCATAGCAATTGTTACTGGTCAATGCTTGGTTACGGTGCATTATGGTTGCGGTTACCCTCCGTTACCGGTAATGTTGCTAGGGTTGATGGTGTCCAGGTTTATTTCTATGCGTTTTGGCATTATAAGAAAGGCGCCTCCTATTTGTCTCTCGTATGAACATACACATCTTGCACCACTTGTTCTCTCTGTTGTTGTCGCTTTCTAATTTCCCCATTCTAGAGCTCTTGTATTTGTTCCCTATTGTTGCTACCTTCTAACGTCCCTGTCTTAGAGCTCCTACGTGCACACGATGATTTGGGAGAGCAGGCCTACGGAGCCGACATCCGTTGTGCCTCAGGAAACAACATCCACTGCGAAACCTATACGGATGGCGAGTGATTAGGTTTTTATGGAGTGTGTCTCCACGCAACTGCTCGCTCTTTCCAATACACGACGCACTTCCTGGCGATCTAGTACACAATGAGGGAGAATTACTATTCCTAATGATGTTCTAGTACAAGGCATACGAGAACAATGACACGACATTCTTTCTGCACTACATGGAGCGTGAAGGACTCCATCAACAACTTACTATGTCGACTAGTGAGAATGCCGCCACCAGTGACCTCGGCACTAGTCTTGCTTCAGGGTATACCACGGCAACACTTTTAGTTGCATTGTTTTTACTTTTGTTCAATATGTCTAGCATTATTTTTTATGTAAGTAGATCACACTGCTTGTCGCTAATATCTTGGATTAAAATGTGCCTAAAATTCTAATAACAATCCAAAAATATGATAGGCATTTTTTAGTCATTGGTTTTGCTGCTGCGCTTAAACCAAATGTTTTTATGGCACAAATTACAAGAGGTAGGGTGCCAAGTGTGTTTTCTGGTTGGCATCTATTCACTACTTCTTTGTTGCACATGGTTGGCCCGTAGGAGCGCATAACTTAGAGAAAGATTGTGTGCCCAAATAGGATGACAATTAGCATGATAGATCACAGGATTGTTGATGCTTATATGTGGTTGCCTATGGGCGAAGAGATATGGGGTGCACTAGAGGCTAAGTTTGGGGTTTCTGATGCTGGTAGCAAGTTGTCCTATAGTAGAGCAAGCTTATGAAATACTAGCATTGGCATTAGAACTTGAGAACTTTGGATGTGTGATGCTAGACAAGTTTGTGGTAGGAGGCATTATTTCCAAACTACGACCTTCTTTGACGGATTTTGTTACTTTTCTAAAACTTAAGAGACGTGACTTTGGGATTGCTGATTTCATTGGCTCTTTAGATGTTGAGGAGAAAGCGAGAGCAAAAGATGCTCGTGGCAAGAAGGTTGGGGAGTTCTAGCGCCCATGTGGTCCAAAAGAAAAATCATCACACCTCCCACAACGACAAGAAAAGGCAAGAACTCTAAGAAAAGACAGCAGACACATTTAAGAAGAAGAACAATAAGAAAAAGAAGACATGCTATATTTGTGGCAAGCCTAGTCATTAGGCGAGTGAATACTAGGAACACAAATTGAAGCAGAACAAAAAGGTTTGCAACGAGGAGCAACAGGATATGGTAATTCTTTACCTACTATTCTTTCAATTTGCTATTCACCTGATTGGTGCGTTGACATAGATGCTAATATTCATATATGTGTTGACATTTCCTTATTTTCATCTTATCAGACAATAAGAGTTCCTCCATGTTGATGTTCATGGTGTTAGCTAGTAAGGTCAATCCAAAGTTTACTTTAGAAAAAACCATGCATCATGTCCCCTGTATTAAGAAGAATCTCGTTACTGGTCACTCTTTATTGTGTTAATATGGTTTTAAACTTGTGTTCGAGTCTAATAAATATGTACTTTCTAAGTATGGGATATTTGTTGGTAAAAAATTTGGTATTAGAGGCTTATTCCGCTTACCTTTGAATGATGTTTGTAGTAAACTTGTGAACCATGTGAGTAATGATGATGAATCAAATGTTTGACATTCGTGGTTTTGTCATGTAAATTTTGGATGTGCGACTGTAAGGATCTAGATGGCTTGAGGGAGGGAGGATGGTGAATAACCTATAAAAATTTCTCTACAAATAACACAACACTAGAGCAAATTGGTTAGAACAATAAGCAATCCTAATAGCCACTACCTTGCCTAGCTTAATTCACCAAAGTAAGCCTCCTACACAAGTTTAGTAGCAAGATGAACACTACTACTAGGCACTCAAACAAGCAAGGGAGGGGACTAGCACTGCTCTAGTTGAGCTAAACTTAGTGAAGCAACTAAACTAGCTACTTCTACCAACTTAGCAGTTACAACAACTAGAAAACTACACTAACAAGCAAGTACCACACAAGCAAGTATAAAAGTAATGCACAAGTGTTTTTTTTACCGAAATGGCAGGGAGCCCCTACCTATTTTTTGATTTTCCATTCAATAAAAGAATGATAATTACAAAGTTTAAATTACAAGGCAGCATGCCCAAAAGAGGAAAAAGAAATCTAAAGTTGATAGCTATCTCTCCAATCACATAAAAAAGTTACAATCGCTGGTTTGGCCTTAGTACACACTAGACCAAGCTCCTGCTTGAACAGTCTCTGCCATTTACTGAGATCAACCTGATCATTATAAAAAAAATAATTGCATTTCTTGCTCTCCATATTGTCCAGCAGGCTGTGATGAAAATCTCTCTGAAGATGGGGCTTCCAAAGTTGGATCTAACAACAATCACCATGTCCAAAGGGGGCAGGTTGAAATCCCAACTTATTGGGATGGTGTTCTAGCATGTTTGGATAAAGGTACATTCAAAGAATAGATGGAAGTTCGTCTCTTCACATCCTATATTGTAAAGGACACATGTATAATCATCAAGTTCCATGTTTTTCCTTTTCAAAAGATTTCTTGTATTGAGTCTATCTCTGATCAGTAGCCAAAAGAAAAACTTGTGTTTTCCAAGGTTGCTAGAGGCCCATAACCATTTGAAGAGAGGGGATGCCTCAGAGTGCCCAATGAGCTTGGTATATGCTTTGCTGCTTCTGAACCTTGAGTTTCCCCAAGAATAGGTCCATTTATCATTCAGGTTCTCGTCTCCTATTCTTTCCAGTAGAAAATTTTGGACCTCTTGTAACTGAGCAGCTGCTTGTTGAGAATGTGGGAGCCTGAAAACTCTGTCAGGTTCTTGTTCCAAGAAGAACTGGATGGAGCATTTTGGTTTTGCTAAAAATGAGAAGAGTTGGGGGTATTTTTCTTTCATTGTCTGCCCTGCCCAAGACCCTAACCAAAAGAGCTCAGTATTTCCTCTATTGGGAATACAGTTTGCCAAATTCTGAAAGTCACTGAAAAGCTTCATGATGTATTTCCACCAGAATGAACCCATTGGACTTCCTGCTTGTGGTGGAGTTTGTGCATTAGCATAGAAGTTGCACAAGTGTAGAAGTTGCAAACATCAGAGCAAGTGAGAGACAATGATTTATCTCCGAGGTTCGGTTGCTTGCCGGCAACCTACGTCCTCGTTGAGTTGAGTCTCTAGTTGATTGATTCACACACTAACAAGCCTCTCAAGCTTGACCCTCAACTTGGGTGTCACAAGAAACAACTCAACAAAGATCATTCCACTAGATTTGCTCTTCGTGACATCCTGCAGGGACAAGCACAAGAGCCCCTTACTATTCAACCGACCATAGGCTCCCAACAATCACCAACAATGCTCTCAACGATCCTCCAATCACCAAGGCATCTAGATGGCAGCAACACCAAGCGGAATAAGAAATCAAAGGCTCC